TTTCGGTTTTTAGGTGAAGTACCTACACTTCTGGCGCAGGCCGCAGCTTTTAATTTTCGCTCCAATTTGGTGGTCTTTTTGGGCTATATCGTTAACAACCGTCAGCTTTGTTTTGTTTTTGGACAGTGATTGGCAACATTTGTCGGTGCGTCGCGTCGATTTTATAGGTGTCACTCAGTGTATGCAAATGGACGACACAAACTGTTACGGTTATGTCGCGGAATAACGAAGCCAGAAATAAAATTGTAGCTCAATTGCTTCGATGAAATTTAGCGATATTGCTTCATATAGGTATCTTTCATGCAGTTATTGTTATTGCACAGATATGTGTTTGATTTCATGCGTATTGAGGATTTTTTTAGCCCCCGATGGAAAAACGACGGGGTGTTAATAATAGTTTTATAGAAGAACAACGAAAATTGAGCTGGATTACTTGAATCTATTTAATGAGCATGTCCAATTTTCCCAAAGCATGACTTTTATCCAATGCTAATCAAAGAGAAAACTTAAGTCTATTGACTGACCCTTTTAGAAACGTTCATCCAATAATGAGCATTATCAACAACTTTCAAGTTAAGGCTACCGTAAGCAACGCGGCCGAAGTGTTAATGTCAATAAGTAGCCGGTAACGACATCATCGCGTTTCACACTTATTGAAGCTTTAGGTAATTAACATATAATTTGATGGTAATGTACGACCCGCCAGCAGGTCAACCCAAAATAATTTCCCCAATGGATTTTGAACTTTTATGTTTTAGTTTGTGATGATAACAACAATTTATGTTTATGTCCTTCTGGTAGGGAGATATTATACAAATCACACTCTATATTAAAAAATAAAATTGAATTCATTAGAAAGCGAATAATATTCTATTAGATGACACGATTAGTGATCGGAATCGGAACGACACATCCTAAACACGATCTTTAAAGTTGTCTTAATTAAGGCAATAGTCCCAAGTATGCGATGTTAACAGCCTCATAACACGATAAATAAACATGTTCGTTAATACATTACGACCACAACATCCGAAGAAGCTGGTAATTAACACATTCCGCTGGATATTCGGGATAAGCAACCAATTAGAGGAACCCACGTGTCTCGCAATCCAAGTGATCTAACCAACCACCTCTCGAATTGATTGGGTCAATATTATTGCTCCTGATGCTCATACTAAATGCTAGATAGCTGACCAGTTCGTGAACTTATACGAGAAAGCCCTCCCATCGAGATGACTAAGTTGAAAAATCTTCTTGTTTAGTGAGATTGTTTGGCGTTACGTTAATTAATTAAGGATAGAAAGAATTAATTGGCGCAAAGCTCGGCAAACAAAATAAAACAAGTGAATTCTTAAAACTGGAGATCATGTGACACGTGCCAAGATCACTCAATCGGTCGGTATTTCACGACAGTGTTCTAAGATAACACTTACACTTAATGAATACCTTGAAAACCTCTTTACATTTGAACGTTGGCTGAAAATGAATTAGATTTTGATGATTACAATAAAAATGTATCATGTAGTAAAAACAAGATAGAACGGTACTCTATGACATAAGTCACGATCACAACGAGTACTAGGAAACTAAATTAAAGTTGCTACTTATAGTAAGCATTTTTCGTCTGCCCTTGTTAATTGATTCCTTTCGGGTGACCGCGGTATCGAGCCTTGGTCGTATACATTCCCGGAGCATCCGACTGTCAGCGTGGGCCAAGTGTTTGTTTTAAAAACACCTCACTTGAGTGCCCGTTGACATCTTTATTAGTCAAGAGTATGACTTGCGTCTTTATTTAGACGGTGATTCACTTTAGTTATATTGGTCTTTAGAAAGTTTGGTTTGCCAGGTGGTATTGGGTTGGTAATTTGAAAAATTTCTGTGATTATGTATAAAGTAAGGTAAGGTGTGTTACCTTAATAGGAATAACTAGCGAATGTAAATGACAAATGACACTGGTGAGTTGAGTCTTTAAAAAGGCAGTTCATAAGTGTGGTAAGCAAAAAAAAATCCTTAAATTGTTTGGGTTAAAATAGCCTAGTAATAAACTAAATATCCCTAACTCTTAAATCGAACCCCCTTTTTGTTAAAACACGTGTCACCGAAGCGTAACCTGAGCTAGCGAGGACTCCTCGGGGAACCACTTCGATCCCGCCCGCTGATTGATGTTCTTCATTTGTTGTGTCAACGTGTGCGTCTCTGGCGCGAATACTCAAAGTAGGGCTGACACGCATCCGGATCCAAACGAAAATAGGTTTTTAAACGGTTTTCGGTCAAATTAACTGAGAGAACGATTTGACTGATGCCAAATCGGTCGATTTAAGTTTGTTTATAACATTTTTATACTACGTTTATGACATTGAAATTCTTTATTCTTAGAGCCCCCATAAATGTCTCAAATCTATGGCAATTATTCTATTTTTCGAATAGTATCATTGTAAAGTAATGTAATCCTCCCGTGTGGTAGCCCTGTCACCGCCTGATATGCTCTTAACGTTCCCTGGTAATTTACGCAACGCGGCTGTCATCAGAGAGAGATTAACTTATTACTGTTACCGAGAGAGCAAGTGTCATTACCGATAATATGTTTACATTAATAAACTAGGTAAACTGTACTTTGAAGAGATGATGATAGTGATTTTCCCATAAAGATGATCGATTAATCTCATTTATAATATCGATTAATGATCGATCTTGTCGTCCAAACAGACCTTTCTAGAAAAGTATAATTTAGGGAAGGTGGTGATTTTACAAGGAAAGGCATTTCAGATTACACAAATTACACATTTTAGGGGCAAAATAGCGCAAAGAGATTTGAATGAATGCCAGATGAATAAACTGATCATCTCATTATCATTCTTATTTTAAATTAAAGAACTACTCAGATGTTTAGTGGTACTAGTGGACGTAGTGGTAACCCTTGTCGGTAGAATGAGATCAATACACTAGGTATGTCAGGAAACGTTAATACCTGAATTGATTAGTTCAACAAATAAGATGGTCGATCATCGTCTCCAGAAAAAGTCAATTGATTCCGTAACTGATCGCCTCGGCAAACGTTTGTGTAACGTAGGCGGCTGCGGGCAAACACTCAATTAGCCTCGAGCTTAAAAAGCTCGCGGGAAGACAAACACCACTAATAAGCCCTCTGATGAACATGGCTGGAGATTGGGAAATTGGAAAACAAACTGAAGTCGAGAGGTATAGACAGGTTATTTGCTTTACATTTCATCTGGACTTTTCCTTGAAGAATGAAAATAGTATTTCCCAGTATTTGATGACAATGCTGGTCATTAAATGAACTCAAATGTTTTACTTTCCATATGTAACATAAACTGTAGGTGTCCTAAACCGGCCGTTAAAGTTTTCTCCTTTTACTATAAAAGCTTAAAGATATTATTTGCTTTTTGTCCCTGCCAGAATATTCCTTAAGCGCACCAGTTTTCAAACAGAAAATGAGTTTTAAACTCGTACCTACATGTTCAAAGTGGAACATTCCATAACAGTTTGTACGTACGCTCCAACGTTTCTAGTTTTGAGTAACAATTTTCAGTATGTAAGGCTAACCAGCGCCCGAACTTTAAGTTTTAGTTAGTTAAAGGTCGGACGAAATTACGGCGCTTGGATCGATATTTCTTTTGATCGCGCTGTATACTTTAGTTTATATTTATCAAGCAATAAACAATCAGACATAATTTATTTTATCAGATAGTGCTCATGTTAAGACTATTAACAATAACCAATTCCAATGAAATTACGAGTACGTGCTCTCTGAAGCATATCACAATATTTTCTCCAGCCGGACCGTTAGATCATAAACTGGGCATTTAAGCACATTCTATCTAAAAGCCTGTGCATTATTTTTCTATGCCTATAGGCTTAGAGTAATAGGTACATACTAGGGTGGTCCTTATTCCTACGAAAAAAAAATTTTTTCTTATATTTTGCGGGGCACCACGTAATTTGAATATATACCATATGAAAGTCTTTCATTATTTTTTTTTTAATTTTTAAAAGACATTTAGGGGTCGCTACCAAGGTTTGAATTTTANAACAAATATTTTAGGTATAGATTCAACATAAAGATATAGAAGAAAATGTCTGGAGGACCACAATTGACGTCGAGCTTAAAATGGCTTCCAGCACAGATGCGGCGTAGTGACGTATTAGTTTTTAAATTAGTTGACCACGACGTATTAGTTGGCGGAGCAGTGACGTCATTAGTTTATAAAATATAAGTACAGGTTGGATGAGGACAACTGCTACTAATTAAAATCTCATGGTCTTTGTAATGTTGTTACCGAATAACTAGAATTAAGTCCAAAAATCGGATTAAGGTCATTTTGTTTGATTGAGTCCTGAAAGCATAAACTGCTACGTAGTTTTAACCGAACGTTAGAAGAATAAATTGCCAAAGATAATGATTGTCTCATTTTAGGAAAGCATAAAGTTTCTATGAAACTGCACAAGTTTTAGCGAGAAATATGGAATTCCAAAGTGAGGTCTTATAAAAGCTGTGATATGAAAGAATTTTGCTGTAGAAGTCGACTGAACTTACTCACAATGTGGTTTTAAACTTTGTAACAAATTCACGCATATAAATGTTTTCATATTTTGGGTAACATTTCAGATTTCTGAGAAATCTTTAGAAGCTTTACCGTTCTCAATTTTATTCCTGAAGCTTTTTTAAAGGATGATGGGCACAAATGTATGGAAAGTGGTACCCGCTCCAATAGCCATAACCAATATATATTTTAAAAGGTCTTTAGATGTAGGAAAATGTCTGCTATGGGGCCAGTTCNTCTATCTTTAAAACTTTACTGTTTTTTTACTGAAGTAGTTTTTACGACCTCTCGTGACCTCCTATAGATGCTTGAGACACACAGATTGAAAAACACTGATCTAACAGATATTAGTAGGTACTGCTAAATTATTTTTGAAGCCTAATAGACATTTGGTCTGTAGGGGCTGTATTGCATAAGGTGTTAAGAAAAACACAAAAATAAGAGTCCCAACTTTTATTCTCATCAATTCGAGATTTCAGATTAACTCGTACACCACAGCAAGCTATCGTACAATACACATAGCGTCAACAAATTGACACAAACACACATTTCATACATGTTCGTACACAACCGGTCGATTGACCCAATATGGGTCGATTAAGTAGTTACAATTAAGTTTTGACCATTTTAACAAATAAGTAGATTTAAAATTAAGAATAAGAATTGGCCAAGAATGTAAAAGAATATTGAACTTGGCATGACTTTTTAAGCCTTTTAGGTTGATTTTAAAATTTGAAATTTCATTCAAATATTTATTTACATTTTGACCATTTCTAAACGAATGCTTATTATAAACAGATGGTGTCAAGCACAGACAAAATTTTAGGACCTCGAAAAACCAACTTTCGTACGAATGAAATTCACACGCGATTTGATTGAACTCGAAATCTTCAAAATCATGCCTTATGCCTGTTACAAATAAGATACATTCTTACGTTTGTGCCAATCTGTAGACGTGCACACACACATTACCGATACAAATAGTTTTATAGAACGCTAAATGCAGGAAAAGTTGACAATTTGCAAAAACATCATCAAAAACGATTTTTTATCATTAAATTGTGCTTTTAAAGTTTGATTCAAGACTTGCACTATTTGATAGGCCTCAAGTTTGGGTATTAATAATTGTTTTTAAAACTTTACAATTAAAAATGTAGGACTAGTTCAACATTTAATTATACTAAAGGCTCAACAACTAAACACGACTGTATATTTTTCAGTGGCTAATTGATAAAAATCAACGTTAAATTCGTTGGTTCACAAAATATTGAACGTTTACTCGACTGCAGAAAGAATGCTAATGTTTTAAACTGAGGCCACAAACTGTCAACTTACTGAATACAATTCGAAGAATGATAAATCCCTAGTGATTTTATTAAACTTTTAAACGTATCTCCCAACTGACGTTTTATAAAATATCTGATGACATTCGCGTACGAATTGGAACAGATATTTTTAATTGAAAAAATCAAAATACTTTTGCAAGAATTTTGATAACAAAAACGAATACATTTTTTGTGAAACTGAAAAAATAAAATATCTGCTCCAATTTGTACGTATTTTTTTTTCTTAGATTTTCACATACAAAATCACTTACAAAATATTCATGATGGAAAATGGGATTTTGATGATAATTATGTATCACAGAGATTGCTGATTTTCTATTTTAACACACATTCCCTTAGAAAAAACCATTCACTTACACTTCCTTCGTTATTTTACGCTTATTGAGAAATACAAAAAAGCAAAAAGGAAAGTAAAATAAAATGAAATACATGAAAATGCAAATAAAACAAAAACAAACACACATACACTTCTTATTTGCGTAAGAAAAAATATTATTTCAAACATTGAAAAATATTTTTTTGGGTTTTTTTTTCTAGTTATGAAGTTTTACGCGACCTATGAAAAATATTACCTGAGATCATTTTTTTCGGCTTTTTTTAATTGATTTGTAATTTTTTTTGTCATTTCTTTGATTAATCTAGATATAATAAGTATCAAATATTAGAATTATTATAACTACAAAATAATAAAGAAATGAAATTATTAATAATGCCAACATACTTTTTTTTACTAAAAAAATGTGAAAGGATAAAAATGAAAATTTTGGAAACTCAATAGGAGTTAGTCAAATTAAAGGTGAAAATATATTAATTGTTTTTTTTTTTATTATTATAATACTAAAATTATTGATACAATGTACTTTATAAAAAAAAAACTTCGGTGGACTTGACTTTTTCTTTCCGCCACAGATTTGCAACTGTTTTTTAAAGAGTTGCAACTCTGTGGTGGTAAAATACAACTTGCAAATTCTTATAGAAGAGGAAGGAGACTTACAAACTAAACAATATGGAATATTATTTTAATTTTTTTTTTACTTTTTTCTCATCACAGGACGAACTAAATTCTAACAAGACGACGAATGCTCTCGAACGATTTCAAAAATCAAAAAACAAGCTTAAAAATTACAAATTATAGACGAAACTTAATCATTTTAAATAAAGCTTTACCAGTGTGCGACAACAAACGTCGTCTCGTTGGGAGAATCGCACTCGACTAATCGCATCGTGTCGCAAGTCGCAAATTAGTGGCGTTAACTGATTTTTATATCATTTTTTGAACCAAAAAACGATATAGAGTACTTCTTACGATGCGATGAGTTTAGTACCGATTTGTTGTATTCAGAATTTAAGAAGACGAAAAAAGATGTCACCTAGAGCATTTAACATATATTTTCGTCATAATTTAAAATACGTAGATAATAAAAGGCGTATATTCTGAATACAACACTAACAAACATACAAAAGAATTTTATACGCTGTACAAAAATAAATTCCGTTATTTTATTAATATTTTCGCTACATTTTGTACAGCGTATCCAAATTCCCGATAATACTCAAAAAAGAACAATTTTTATTTTTTTTTTTGTTGAACAAAAATTTTGAAAAAATTGCACCGATCAATTTTGTATTTTTTTTTCACTTTTAAAATGTAGTAAAATTACCTAATTAATATTTTAAATATAAATTAAAAATGCCCGCCGGTTCTAAGCACTTGAAGTTATCAAATTTAACAAAAACGTTTCATGAAAGAGTATGTTTCAATATTTATTATTTGAAAAATATTTTATTTAAATGCCTGAATTAATATAAAAAATGTCAATTTAAAAATATAAAATATAATAATATATTTAGCTATTAAATCTACCATGATATGTCAAAGTGGCATAATTATACGAACTCTCACATAAAACGTTTTCGTATAAAAATTGAAAGTTTGATCACGGAGTTTTGACTCGCTCAAAAGTGGGATCATACATTGACACACCATAGACTATTTAAACAATTTCCATAGACATTTAAAGATAGAGAAAGTTGAATTTAAAAGGCCATAGAGAAACCCTAGTTTTTTACTACTTTTTATGATAAGATGACAAGATCACAAGTGACCACCATCAATCCCTAATTTTTAAGTGATCCCTATGAAAACAAAATTCCTGTTATACCATAGGGGTCACTTAGAAATTAGGGATTGATGGTGAAAACGGACATGAGTTTCTTGCGCTGCTTCTACTCAGCACTGGCTGGATGTTGTTAAAAATGCATTTTATTTTGTGATTTTTCCAAAATCATTTGCGCAAACATCATACTTAACTTATCAAATAACATTCTATTCAAATTGTTTAAATCAAAACCATTTCACACATATTTACATCTGAGTCGGAGTATGGCGGCGCAAACACTCGTGACACGTGGCGTGGCGTGACGTGACGTGGCGTGGCGTGGCGTGGCTAGTCGCAGTAGACGGGTAGGACGGGGCTCCGAGGCCAGTCGGACATGTCTTCACTTTCGCTGCTCTCACTGCCAGTTCTGTTGAGAAATAATGTAGAATTAGCATAATTTCTTTTAACTTTAAGATGGGTTCAGCAACCCACAACGATAGGACAACTCCTAAAAAAATATTATGATAAAATATGGTACTTTTTGTAGGGCCTATAAAAGGCCTTTGTAAGCCTGTAAAAAAGAAACTGTAAGCTCGCGAGTTTCTTCGTCACTTAGTTTCTTTTTTGTAAACCTTAGCGCTGGTAAAAATGACGCTAAGACGTACCTTAAAAGTTGCGCTTGAAAATGTATACGCTTCGAGGAATACCTCATTTATACATTCTAATATACAGCCAAAATCTTGTATACAGTATAGATGGTATACACACCTGTTTCGCGTGGGCGTGGCGTCGACAGCGTAGTGTTGTTCCTCGATGGTGGGCAGAAGCGACGTCAGCCGGTCTGTTGGTCGCAGCACCTGCAAGCAAATACATTTAAACATTTGTTAACTCAATGGATAACCTCATTATAGTTCTAAAATGTTGTTTCAGTTAATGGTTACCATGCTGCAAGTGCAGGTTAATACTGAAGTTTACTATTTCTACTCATTTCATGATTATTTATCGTCCGCTTTGCACTGGAGGGAAATCGAACCTTAACTTCGAACTCCTATGTTCTTCTGATTAATTTCATTGCGGGTCCAATGACAGTTTAACTTTCCCCCGGGACAAACTTGACCTTCACTGGTTGCGTCATGTTTTATTGGCGGTCAAGCTGTAGATCCTGGCTACACAGGAGTCGCAGCGGTGGGAACGAGAGGTGGGAATAGTCCCGTAAACAAATATGTCTATACAAGTGCTGTGTGGTTCTAGCAAAGTAAAATAGAATCAGGCCACTCTTCCCGTGCCAGCCCGTCTGGCCAGCGTGGGGAGTGTAGGACAAATCCTCCATTTGCTTCTGGTGAATTAGAGAGTCGAGCTCCTGTAGTGGAGACTAAATGACCTGACGACACAGATGCGCGTAATTTGGTAATTCTAAGGGATGAATCTAAGTTTCATTCAAAAATACAATGATTCACGGAATTTTTATATACATATGTTACGGTTAATGTGATAAATTGAAAATTATTAATAATAACCGGTTATTATGAATAATTACCGACAGTCGCGGTAAAAGTGATAAATTAATCACATTTAACAGTGATTATTTCATAATTCAACCTTAGTACTAACAAATTTCATAAAAGAGACAACATCTTGTGTACGTGCTCGTGTACAGCCAAACTTTTGAACGTTTTGATATCATATATTAATATAATTTGGCATAATGAGTTTGGAATGTTTCTTGCATAATATTACTTTTCCATGATGCCTATAACATAATGTTTTGATTTAAAGTGAAAAATAGGTTAAGGTNTGTCCTTTGATATCCCATAGTAAATAGTACTTTACCTCGATGCGCGACACTTATGGCTAAAAAGCCTGTGTTTTATGTCAACAATTAGCGGTTTACGCCACCATAACCCCCACCCGTCGGGCGACACAAGTGACCGACGCCATTTTGCAGAATAATTTAACAAGATCCGGCGAATGGCCGACACTTCCGGCGGCGGCGAGAAACAACACACCGTTGTATTAATATTAAAATAGATTTTTCCTACGTTAAACAGGGTTTTGGTACAGTCGAGAGCACATCAGACTATCCATTTTTGTTTCAAAATATCCCTTATTTCAATAACATAAGGTACAGTGTGTAACTTGACGTGCTGTCGTTTGTTAAACAGGGTGTTGGTACATGCCTGTGTCGAGATTAGGTTGTGGACGGATTACGCGATACATGGGTGCGGTAATACAGAGCACTTTATGGGCACTGAATAGGACAATCCTTTTAGCCCTTTATTGTTTATGTGCTTACAGTTTAAATATGTTAGGGCCTGATTAAACAACCATTTTCTACGCGGTACAATGGACAATTTTGCTTCAGAACATGTGGTTCTATATCCTTATGTAGATACCCTAATAATTCGTCTTGTCAATGAAAATAATTAACTTATTACTCTTATAAATATGTACTAAAACCCTGGAAATGCTCGCTCTATCCTGAAAATAGGAATCTCAACTAACAATAGGAACAACAATGTTACATCATTTTTCATCTAGAATAAACAGGCTTTGTTCTGTATTAGAGTTCCGCTGGCGAGCAATGGTTCAGACCATTCCGAATGGCCGAAAACATGGCCGAATATCGTGGCCGAAATGCAGCCCTTCTGCGGCGCAGACGAGACTGCATTTTACAGCTGCAATTTGTGCTCCAACTGCGTGCTAGCTAGGTTAAAAGCTCTGTGGAAGTTTTACTCAAATTACATAATTATACCTAATGATAAAAATCGTCTGGAACAAAAGGTCGCCTTAATTGATGCCTATTATTTCCTACCCATTTCATGTTGCATAATTTTGTCAAAATATAATAACAATTGTGTTTTATTTGAACGAAAGATTAAAGTATTCTAAGCCTCGTGCCTCGAGATGTAATGTGTAATTATTGAGAAAAGAATATTAGAACAAGTGTGTTCCTCAAAGAAGCCACGAAAAGTCTCCGTTGAAAGATCCGAACGCCTCAGGGGCTTATTCCAAGTTTCAAAACAAGATGCCGTGTTTACAAAAGACGTGTACAAAGTACGTACCTATTCAAGTTTCGATAATTACATGAGGAAGCAGTAATTCACGTCATTGGCTCGTGAAATTACGCCAAAAAGCGAGCGGTGCGTGAACGTAAGGAAATGGCTATTATAAACACATTTCTACAGAGAGCACTTGCGTATCATGCCATACATCAAAATTACGTGTTTTATTATTCCTGTATGGTAAGTAGGAATCTTAAATTCGTTTTAATGTCGAGCTCTGGCAACCGGAAAATGTGTTTTTGTATCATTGTGAAGTATTGCCGGGTAATGCGTACCTTTGTGTTCTCGGTTCAGTCAGATTTGACCCATTTATTCTTCGGTTACATTAAATATAGAGTCAGTTAAATTGCAATCTTTAGTCACATAATGTGCATTGGTGAGTATAATACAAATCAGCCACATTATCACATACGAAATGAGCGGACCAGAGACTTTGTGTCATTGCTCTCACAACGCGTAACTTAATCTACTACACCAATTTATTTATCATCCTCTTGATATCCACTTCTGAACATACAGCAACTTCCTATAACTATGGAGGTCATGGGGTTGGTGGCCTCTACGCTACGTCATCCAGTTCGTAGTAGTTAGTCGAAAATCATTCATTCCTAAAGGTTGTCAGTTCTGCGAGCGATGAGTCCTGCTATTGCCACTTCTACTTTTTAATTAAAAAAAAAAACTTTCGCAATTTTTATTTAGCAGAATGTTCCTCCTAAAATTTCCTTGCTTGAAGAATCCTTGCGACACATACCAAAGAACTGTCTATCCATAACGGGGCAAAAGGTTTCTACGCGATGATTATTTATTTCAATTAGCATTCGAAGCAAATGTTTTATGGGCGAGTTAAATTGGCGTTTGGAACGATAAAGCATCACCGTGGGAACGGTTTTAAACGCTGCAAGGCCATAAATTCGCGCTCGGCAGTACGATAAAAGGGCTTATAAAAGTGCATTTATTATCTGTGCCATCGGTTACGAGCGTGGAAATGTCGCAATATAAGGAATGCGCCGGTCACCGTCTCGGCGACGGGTCATTATTTTGATGTAGCGAGTGATAAAACACAACTCGATGCGAGCGAGGCTGTTCGTGTTGCGACCTTTGACATTATTTTCGTTAAGAATGACAATTGCCGTCATAACTTTTCAGATTTGGAACGATTAGGCGGAGGCATTTGAAATAAGAATGTTTTAGAAAAAGTATTTTTGTGCCAGTACCTTTTCGGAGTTTTTGTTACGGTTCGGATTAAAAGAGTTTCAGACAGTGAAGAACCGTAAGGCGGTTATCACACTGCACCGCGCTCCGCCGCGGAGCGCGTGATTTTTTATATGAAAATCACGCGCGTGTTTTCTATACAAACTGAGGTACCTACTTGCATACAATGATTAAATATGTCGCCCCGCGCTCCGCGGCGGAGCGCGGCGCAGTGTGATAACCGCCTAATGAACATTTTTAATAGCCATTCTTATCGACGTGAGCCTTTTTCCCCCAATTGCTAGTTTTCTTACAAATTGTAGTAATAACGTAAGACTCCTTAGGACTGTATAAATGTGTGGCCATTCAATTTAATCGGAGAAATTTGTTACCGCCGGCCTTCATCTCATTGATTGAAACCGTCCAGAGTAATGGACATTATGATTCTAGGCATTGTTCGGCTTCAATTACCGGCCATGATTGGACCGCCGAAAAATTGTATTAATATTGTATCTATTAACCGCTTGTGGGTTATTTGTTATTTTATGGTTAGCTAGTTGTAGCTTGGTAAATTAGATTTTGGATGGTATAAGGATTGAGTAAATTAAGATTGCTACTTGGCAACAGAAAAGACGGTTGACAGTTTTCTGTATAATTCGGTAAAGAACTTATACTTTTATGCATCCTCATGTGCTTAAAACGGATTTATAGATTTTGATGTAGTGATATTCTTTTGTAATGTATAAAGTATATGAAATGTTATTTTCAGTGTGTTTTTTAAAAGTTGGTTGTAGAGTCATAACATAATTATTTTCAAAATAAGATTCCTAGTTTTTTAATGCAAAAATTAAGTTGCGGTTAATTTCTAGCCAACATCAAATCGTTTTTATTCTGATAAAACCATAAATAGGTAAATATCAAGATTTGGCAACAACATACCCACCCACGAATGTTACCTTTTTAATAAACAGGCATTTTCTCGAAACGTCAAGCCCGTTTCTTTCTAACCCTCAATTAGAAAATGGAGAATTGGGGCAATTGCCCGGCACTTTGGTAAACCAAATATTAATTCGGAATTATTCAACCTAAGGCTGTCGACAATTAGGTAGAAAAAAATGGGTGAAGATACCATCGGTTGTGGGGAAATTATTAAAACGTTCGCCCCTCGCGTGTAGAACTAGGCCGGGTATAACTCGGGCGTTTTTATTTACGAACGTTAAAAAGTGCCGGCCCGGGTCACGCGAGCCTGTAGCTCAAAACTAAACAATGGCCATAGAGTAATTAAGAGCAGTAGCCTAATTGCTATTGGACGCTAGAATCAACGCAACGCGACTGCCGCAAATGCGGCGTGCAAACAATAGTAGGTCAATTTATTGAAAGGGTGTTTTTTACGTCAGCTGATGATAGACAAGAGGATGTAGACGGGAACTAATATTTTGATGATTTTATTGTTCAGTTTCCCTTTGTTTTTCCATGATTTTTTTACTGAATGTACAAAAATAGAGCAAAGGACCAGTCCGCATGGATGTCTTTGGGGAAGCCTTTGTCCAGTAGTAGACGTGCTTTGGTTGAACCGGTGAAACTAGAGTAAAATTGTGCTGTGTACAGATAACAGAACGACTCAATCATGGCCAAGCGAGCGA